TTTTCTGGTAAGAAGCAGCCTTGAATTCATCTTTTCAACTTTAATTTGGCTTGGGTTTACCTTGAATTGTGTTTTGGTTTTTGGATTGAGGTAGCCGTGAGTTTCCCCTGAATTTTCTGCACATGCCGCCGGCCTCCACCCCAACCCGCCAGCTCCGGCCTTGCTCATTGAATTCCGGTATGGACAGCTTCTCTAAGTCCAGATTTTACCCCTTTAATTGCTGAATTTTGTCTGTCAAATTGCTGCCTTGTGTGTGTCCGAATTGTGCCGGAAATGGGGGGGAATTCCGGTAGCTTTTAGCAGCAATTAAATGTGTTTAAGCTTGATTAAGTAGGATTTAGCTTGAATTGGCTGCTGTGATGTTTTGTGTGAGAAATCCCGTGCGTGTGTGAGTTGTGATTTGCCAAGTTATGCTCTCTCTGTGATGCCGTGAGAAATGGGGAATTTTGGTAGCTTAAGCTATGATTTTAAGATTAGTTTAAGTGTAAATTAGTTTGAATTGGTTATTGTTTTGTCAAATTTGGAAGTTGAAGTTACTGTTCACGTGTACTGTTCATAGATACTGTTCACACACCGAGGGCTAATAATTAACGGGGATTTAGATGTTTAGTTTGTGATATAAGAATAATTTTGGAGATGTCCGATTATGTGGAGATGGATAGAAATAGCATTGTGATTAGGGGTAGTGCTAATGATGATTTCACTTGAAATTGTGGTAGTGAGGTATTAATTGTGAATATTGTGATTAGGTTCTTGATCGTTCTGTCAGTTAACATTGAGATCGAGTCTTCGGTTTTATGCGAGTGAGGTAAGTAACTTATGGTAATGCCCTGGATTTAAGGTAAAGCTTTTTAAAAGCATGTTTTGACTTGTTTTTGAAGTGGTGGCAGGATTAAACCCGTTTTATACAAAAGTAAGTATGATTGATTTGAAATGAAATTTTATGCTTTTCATTAAATTGAGCATGCCTACTGAAAATTGATTGATTGTCCTGACGATTTGAAAGTGATTGGTAAAGAATGATTTTCTGTGAACTTCTGCCTGTTTTGTCTCCGATATGGTTATGTTATTGATTGTAATCCTGCTAGTGGGGGTTAAACGCTAGCACATGTCGACATGTTATTGATAGAACCGGTTCGTTCAAG